TCATACGTTGTGAGGCGTCTCACTGCACATGTGATGATGCTTCCATAAGTATTAATTATATAATCGTTAGCTGGAGAATGTCAAAAAAGTCAAGTCCTATGTGCTTGGAGGGTCGTGCTTCTTAGAGTCGTCTCGAAGGAATTTCTGCCATCTGTGGGTAACTGTAAGGTTACCCATTGGAACGTTTCCACTTGATGCATTGTTTCACCAGGTTCTCACTTGTACACGTAACCTTGTTATCCGGTGCTATCCTCGTACTGTGCACATTGGGTGGGCGACTCCCTTGTGGCAGAGTCCATGTGCTTACTATTATTTTTCGGCTAGTTCGCTCTGGCGAAGATAAATATTATAAAGTTTGCGCTTTTGCATAGCGATGTTTGTCCAAGGCGTGCACATGCTTTCAATGGTTCAATGCTTGTCTTTGAACAACTTCACTGACTTGCTCATTGACTTGATATAGACAGACAAAAGAGTTGATGACGAATTCTGATTCTGAAATATTACTCAGTATTCGTTCCGCGCTTTCCTTCGATAAGCTCTTCATCATTCGACGAATGAATCGTAGAGCCCATGCCATGACTCTTCAAGCTTCCCTAAATGAGGATCATTGCTCAATTGGGAACTGAGATTGGTTTCCATTTCCAGTATTCACTGTAGTGAATGCGAGGGGTGTGTCTATATTTCTAGGTTGCGGCTATTCGGAACATTGATGTGTTCCATTTTGACGTTGGTTCTTGAAGGAACTGTGGGCTTTACCACTAAACATGGTATTCTGAGTGGTCTTTGGAGAGACCACGCAAGGCAGCATCTGCTAGGTTGTCCATTAATGAAACGTATTTTAAGAAGACTTCGGTCTGCATTGCATTCGATGTTTTGTGGAGCTCCTTCGGTCGATAACGGACGAGTATGCCTAATTGGTAGTCGTTAAGAGATTTCATTATCCAACTAAGAATAACTTGTGAGTTGGAGAAGAGGAATATAATTCCTATGTTGGCATCGCATTTCTGCATAACCTGATGAATTGATCGGGCAATTGTTGTAGACTTGTCGAAGGGTTCATTTCTGCTCTCGTTATTGTTGTTTTCAATTCGATGGATGGTTGTTTTGGCTTATCCATCAACATTGATGATTTTTTATTAGTGGACGCGTATGCACGGACCATTGTGACGCGTACACTTGCATCTGCAAAGGCTTCTAGGTTGAATGGAGCTCTAACGGAGGTTTTCTAGCGAGACCCAATCAGAGTCCATTCGCATCCTCGCACATTTTACTCGCACTTTTTGATATATTGTAATTGCAATGGTTAGGGAAGCTCTCGATCCCAAGAATAAGCTTGCAACCAGAGCTGTTGTTGAAACCGCGTGAGTGGAATGAGAGCGATGCGAGCCAGGCTAGTGGGTCGTAGATAAAAGCAATGTGTTAAGCCTTTTTCCTTTTAGTAGGAGCTTGATGCGTAGGATGTGCGCAACTGATCAAAACGTTGTCGTTGCTCGAATTCCATGCTGTGCCTAAAACTTCGTGTTCTTTCTGGAAGAATCAAGCTTCTGACGGTAGTCATGTTCAGACTGTCGCATCGTTCGCAAAAAAATTTGCGCATGTTCATGCTCATTGCTGGAATATTTCGCGAATCTTCAACGACTTTTTTGCCATTTCATCAGCGCTGTCGGCTGTTATAATTAAGTTATCAACGTACATGTTTTGGTTGATCTCCTTTGACAAGAATGGATCGTTTACCTCGTTATTCATGTGCTGTCGGACTGTGACAGCTAGAAGGAAACCCGAAGCATTCAATCCGAATGTGATCCTTGTAAAACGGTATCTTACGATGTTGCTTCCTACAGAGGCATGTCTGTGTCTCTGATCCACAAGCATCGTGTAACATGCCGTTCGCATTCGTTCGATCGCACTTGAAGAAATGCTTTTCCTACGTCTGCAGTGACAACAGAATCTTCCTTTCGGAATCCTAACACCATTGCATGAAGCCCCAGCAGGATGAGTGCACAATGATTAGTAATATCATTGAGCGACGGTTGCCCTTTGCAGTACGAGTAGGCGTCAAAGACGATACGTAGTTTCGATGCCGCTTTTATAGGAGCTGTAACTGGCTGATGTGGTAGACGATGGATCAACGACAGTGACTCTTCGTTGTTTTCTACGACTTTTTCCATGATTCGTTTTCAAGCTGTTCTTTAAATGCACTGTGGTGTTTCTTGAAAAATTGAGGCTCTTCTTGTAAGGCATTCATGACGCTCATGAGGCGGCTGTAGGCTAGTGATTTACTCGTCGGAAGTGTTTCACAGCTATCTTCGAATGGTAGCCGAACATAATATCCGTCATTTCTTTTCTCTATTGTATCCTCGAAGAACTACTCAATTTTCTCATTGGCATGAAAAATTTCACGTTTTTTGTGCCACTAAACTCCTCTATGCAGCAAGTTTCAGGAGACAATAGCAGTCCCATCGCTCGTGCTGTGCGTTTATTTGTGCTATAATTGTTTTCTTGCTGAAATCGTTGCCGTTTAAGTCCATAGTCCTTTTCCTCCCGAGTGATCCTTGCTTGCCACCACAATTGATCGCAACGCAGTAGAACTTGTGAGTTGGTTAGTGGTTTTTTCGTTTTTAGCTGGAAGTGACTCCTTGATGTTGCAGGCACATTCGACCTTCGAATGTTGGAAGAGCTTGAGTTTTTTTTCTGTGATGACAACAAATTGCATGGTGAAAGACTGTGAAGATTGGAATGTTCCCTAAGATGTCCTAGAGCTGTAACTCGGTGATATCGCACTTTTGATGACGGTAACTTTATTGCCGAACGTATAGACAGATAAGTAGTCCCTGACAATATTCGGTAAGCTGAGCCCGTTTGCTAGTTCGCCCGTGATGATGAATTGGTCAGCACCTGTATCGAGAAGTATTTCTACTCCTTTCATCATTCCACTTTTTGCATCGCAAACTTTCGTCATTCCAGTGAGGAGTAAAACTTTATTTGTGGGTTCTCCTTTGTTCAGTGCTTGGAGGTATAAAGTGTTAAAGTTGAATCACCTTTTCTAATGTGCCTTTGGTATTTGTAGATCTGATGATTCCGGTGATACTGTGTAGCTTTGTCTTTGGGTAGTTCTTCCAGTGTCTTACCCTGTACCTTTTGTTGTGTGCGCGGGTCCCACAATATTATTCCATTGTTGCGTCGCAGTGGTTCTCTGCTTTGTCATTAAGGACGAACGGAGAAGTGATGTTTTTGCCTTCACATATACTGCATATTTTGTTTATGCAGTTTCCCAAAAGATGATTGGGTTTTGTGCAGTTCAGGCACCTTCTATACTTGAATGAGTACTGTGATCTATCTTTGGTAGAGGTATCCTTGGCACAAGCTGGTTAGCTATGTTCAGCTGCATTGCAATAAATGCATGACGGCAGTCGACCTGATATTTTAACTTTTCGTTATTGGCCTAGGTTAGGCTGACTTTAAGTTTGTACAGCTGTGATAAGCCTTTTCAAGTCGGTCAGTAATTTATTCATAGACCAGTCATCTACGCCATGATCTGTTCTAAAGCGTTGTTGAGGAACATTGATTTACAGCCTTTGTTCGGGCATCGCCAGTATCTTATGGCGACGGAGGAGCCGTTCAAAACTTCTTTTTGCTCCAATTGTGTTGTTAGAGCAGGAGGGTGTTTTAGTAGCCTTCGCTGTTCGCTGATATGGGTGCTGCTGAGGCTCGCTCGAGACGTTCTTGAAGGTCATAGATCAGTATTGATTTGTCACCGAAATCTGCTGGCAGTACCTAGACTGCTGGACTGTAATTTCCTACCTTACGGCATATCGCCGCATCGCTTTTTTTTGCTTCCCTTTACGCTCTGCAACAAACAATTAATCTTTTGCAAATTGTCAACCTCTGGCTATGCCCATTTGCACTGCATAATGCCCAAAATCTTTCAAATTTGCTGATTCTTCCACTAAAAATAGAGAGCGGGATGATGGGTAATCCCACCTCTGCGCATCTCATCTCTGTAGATGATTCGCTCTACGCTTCTAGCTCTGTCAGCCTTGCTCCAAGTATATTAGTCAGGGTGTACGTCATTTTGAGAAATGCATGAGTCCTTTCTATGCTTAACCCGATTTGCTTTTGCTCTTCTTCTGATAGCGTTTGATGACCTGACCTGCAGTTCTTGCAAGATCTCATGTGTGCCGCTTACTGTCATCAAGTCGGCGATCACTTCCGTAGTCATCTCCGAGAGAAGCTTCGGAGAAACTTCTGTCTCGGCCTCACAAGAGTATCTCTCAATGGCCTGATTCAAAAGGTTAGAATATCCGAAGAAAAGTCCTTTCTGTGATTTCATTCGAGCGGACCCTGTCATTTCGTTTTGTTTGCAAAGATGATAGGGTTCGCTACTATCGCTAGTTCTTCATAATCGTGAGGACATATCTGCAATATGCTGAACAAATTCGAAGTAAATCGTACCAGCAATCCGGATCGTTCACTGTTGGACCGGATGCTACGCGTAACGGAAGCTCTGCTGTGGACTGAGTGGCTTCCATTTCCACTTCTTGACTACGCTTGCTACGCGGGACTTGTGTTGCATCAAACTCGGGTAATTAAACCTTCATCCATATTAAAGCACAATTGACAGTAGTGAGACCTACATGATATTCTTCCAAGGTAAAAAAAACCGGTAGCAAAGAAAGAATAACGCCGAAACTGTATCCTGTAACGAAATAATCGTAGAGTAAAGACACTTCGGAGTGCAGATCAGAATACTGCAACAGTAGTCGAACGCAACAGTAATAGCCAAGCACAACAATATTATTATGTTGATTTTTCTACTAGATTTACTGGATTAAACAACACTTTGATGCTATCTCAACATCTGCTCCCAACTCCGGACGACTTTTTCACGAAACTAATCAGTGGCACATCATTCGCACAAATCGACTCCGCCGATGCTTATCTTCGAATCGGAGTCGATGAGCCTTTAAGGTTGATACGCACTGAGTACTACTCCGCGACGGTTACTGGCTACTTCGCCTCGTCATCGACTCCGATTTGAAGATAGCATCGGCGGAGTCGATTTGTGCGAATGTTGTGCCACTGTTTAGTTTCGTAAAAACGTCGTCCGGAGTTAGCACCGGATGTTGAGATAGCATCAGAGCATTGTTTAATCCACTAAATCTAGTAGAAAAATCAGCACAGAGCCGTAGTGTCACATTTGGTTTCCTTACGACAACAATCGGGGCTGCCGAGGCAGAGTAGTCTAACGAAGAAAGCACTTCTTCATCGAGGGAGGCGAAATAAGCGAATAGCACAGGCGCTTTTTCTTGCCGACAGGATGAGCACCTTGGTCTAGCTAATGTGTCACTTTGATCTTTGTGCCGAGTCCTGATCTGAATACACTGCATAACTGACCTACAGTTTAGCGACAATCTCTTCTTAGCACGGAGCCGCAGGATCAGCAACGACGGTCACTCCACTGATGTATTTTTGTAGTGGTTCCACAAGTTGCGGAACCTTTTGAATCCATTCCCAAGCAGAAATGTCGAGCTTCTCGGTGACGTAGCAGCATCCTTGCCCACAATGCCGCCTTTCATCTGAGCTCCTCAGCACAAAGTCGTCAATGATGTATCCTCTCGTGGGAATCCTTGTTCCGATTGCGGCATTGACGATCGTGTTGTACTTCCGTAGCTGCGATCTTCCAAGTTTCTCCCTATTCGATCTCCCAACTTGATAACATTGTTATCATAGCTGCAGTATCGAGTAGAAGATTCGAGGGTCGTTCATTAACTTCGACTCCCAGGTGTAGCTGAGCTTCCTTGCGAAAGCGTCCTCAATGCTCTTGATCTGGCAGCTCCTTGCACTGCTACGTCTAGTATATGGGCGTGACGGTGGAAACAATTCCTCTTCTCCAGGTTTTGGATTGTATTAGGTGTGTGCATTAATTTCCGCCGTTTTTCGCGTGCAAAAAAATACTTATTACAAAATTAAAACTAAATGTACATCAACCAATGTATCGCCCATCGTTAGCTACAACTTCTTGCCATCTTTCTGGTACCTTGTTGACTCCGGTTCTAAAAAAGCCTTCATCTTTTGAGGCAATCCTGTTATCCACCCATTTTCGCACTTCTTCGGCATTCCGGAAGCGTATATCTGCCAAACTGACTTGCATGGATCGAAATAGGTGATAGTCAGAAAGAACAGGGTCTGGAGAGTATGCGGGCTGAACAAGCTGATCCCATCCCACAACGGCAATTTTTTTGAGGACATTTTTCGCAACAAGGGGTCTGGCATGTTCGTGGTGGAACAGCACCTCAAGATATTTTCTTGCGATTAAGGTGAGCTTTTAGTAAAAGCATCCTACACACTGTCAAGTTGGTGTTCGTAGCGGTTAGCAGTAACAGTTTCGTTCGGGCTCAGCTGCTCATACTTCAAAGCACCCTTTTGATCTCACCACCAAATGCACGTACAGCATTACTTTTTTGTATTCAATTGGCATTGAAGCCCACCGGATGCTTCTATGGAGGACTAGCTTCATCTGAACGAACCTGCTGATATGTTACTCTTCACTCGAAACTTGCGCTTTCGCTGCAAGTTTCGAGTGAAGAGTAACATATCAGCAGGTTCGTTCAGATGAAGCTTGTCCTCCATAGAAGCATCCGGTGGGCTTCAATGCCAATTTTCTTGAAATCAAACAGCAGAGGAAGGGCCCTCCGGGAAAATGTTTCATCACGTTCCATGAGCAATCAGTCTGAGGGCAACGGGATTTGGGGGAAAAATTGATCTGTCTGCCCTGAAATAGGTAGCTGATACCCTACCTTACAGAACATGACAGGTTTCATCGGTAAACTTCTAACATGGTTCGCGCAACGATCCTTCGAAGACGGCAGCGGAAATTAATCCACACACCTAGTAAAAAGCACTTAATTGTTCATTTTTCCCTGGTTTTTTTTCTCCTCCTGCCGACGTAGGTGACCGAAATGTTGGGGTTTGTCAAGTTTCCCAGTATCCTTGCATCTTCTGTGCACGGATTAATGAGTTGACATTCAGCACTCGTGTTCTGTAGTCAGCGAATTCAGCTCCTTCAGATCCGGCGACGTAGGCGAGGCATTGAAGGCCATCAAAGCTATGGATTTGAATTTGGCATTTGATTTTGAAGCATTAAGCGGAATAATGTCTTTGTAGAACCAAGTAAACGGCCCACCGGGTCAACGACTACATCCCATGACAGTCCTGACGGCGACCCCGGCACGTCTGAACCACATAATAGCTGGTGACAGTCTTCGTCCTAGCGGCTAACCAGTATGCGTGACCTTTCTTGCTCATTCATTTCCGTAAAGTCATTGTCGAAGAAGTTCTCGAGGCGCTTTCACCAGATATCGAACGTTCTGCCGTTTTCCGCATCGAAAGTGACTTTGCCGATGCGTTGGCAGAGGGAGTCGAAGATACCATGTTTTGTAGTTGCAAAATTCGCTCCATTCATCCATTGCATTCCATCATTCCCAAGACACGGAGGAAAGAGTCAAAATTCTCCTTTCGCTGAATTCGCATGAGCATCAGCATATTTTCCTGGCGCTCCATCTGGTCCTACATCAGGGAGAAAATCTCGGTAGGCTTATCCATGAGTCCTCATCAGATCGCCAGTTGTTGCTTCCGGAGGTAGCGACAGAATTCGAAGTTTTTAGAACATAAACTGAACAATAAAACCACTCATGAGGTTTATACACTCCAATGAGATCATGGCTTAGGTGCAAAAGTGATAAGTATCAGTAACAGAATCAGCAACTCTTAACTGCTGCAATAGAAACGTACGTCTAGTTAGCTTGCAATCTTTCTGATGGACCATTATGATAACACACGAACTATTGTAACAATCCCTTCTTTGGAAACAGTATCCTGTTTACTCTTTCGAGTTGCCTTCTAATGATACTACTTCCGCTCAAGAGCCTCCTGTATGGCCCATTAATGAAATCACGAAAAATCTCACTATGTCCTTCCCCCTTCTGTGTGTGAGCTAGGCTCAATGCGGCAGTCCGCATTGAGCCTTTACTATCCCGAAAATATCAGAAGTTTCTTAATGGTGACTATACAGACTGCAATGAAACCTACTTATGCAAGTAAATGATAGCGAATTTTGTGAAATCGATAAATTGTTTCTGCGCCTTCAAACAACCACCACGATTCTGAATGGAAGAGGGATTCGGGGACACATGCTGAGATTGGCGGACGAAAAGACTATTTTTGTAGAGAAAACTATTGGTTGTAAGCAGTAAGAGCAGCGAGTTATATCGTCTCACTGGCAAGATCTGGCATGATGTCTTTTGATTTGATGTGCTATATTGAGCGGGCAATGGCTTTTTCATTAGCAATACATCCTACTTATATAATCAGTTAAGTGTGTCTGTTGGTGTGTTTGTGTGTTTGCGTGTGTGTGTGTATGTGTGTGTGTGTCTGACCGGAAATTCATAACTCCTGTCCCCGTGGACCTAAAGCGTTCTAATTTGGTAGGAATACAGGCGGCAGGATGGGAACACTTGCGGTGGGTGCAAGAACGGGACTCCGCCCACAGGGGTCGGGGTTTGCTCTGAATGAACTTTTGAGCGAAAATTCAGAACATCTGTTGCCGTGCACCTAAAGCGTTCAAATTTGGTAGACGGGAGGCAGAACCAGACTCCGCCCACAATGGGCGGAGTTTGAGTGAAAATTCACAACTGCTGTTCCCATGCACCTAGAGGGTTCAAATTTAGTGAGAGCTCAGGCGGCAGGATGGAAACACTCATGGAGGAGGGCAGGACCAGGCTCCGCCCACAATGGGCGGAGTTTTAGCAAAAACCCATATTTCTTGTCCCCGTGGACCTAGAGTGCCCAAACTTGGTAGGAGTATAGGAGGCAGGATGGGAACACTTATGGTGGGAGCAGGACTGGACTCCGCCCACAAGGGGCGGGGCTTGCAGAGCAATGTCAAAATAGACCTGGAGCGACTCGGTAGGAATGCTGGAGGCAGAATAGATACACTGATGATAGGTTGCGAGACTAAACTCCATCTCAAAAGGCGGAGCATGAATGAATACTGTTCATTCGGACCTAGACCGTTGAAACTTGAAGGCACAAGGAGTTGGCTGGGAACAATGATGGTAGCTAACATAGTAGGCTCAGCCGCGATGAAGTCTCTAAACACTTTTTTCTCTGAATAATCGTCTTTTGTAATATCATACGATGTTCTATTCGGACACAGCGAAGATGGCTCACAGAAAGATCGCTCCTAATTCAGAGCCAATACTGAGGATGTAGAACTTTTGAAGAAAAAGGGAGAATCCGAAGTGTTGCTTACGCATAGCAAATTTCTCCCAGGAAGGAAGAGTGCCCGGCGTAGGCGGGCAAAGCCATAAGAAGGAGGGAAGCCCGGCGTTAGCCGGGCGGCCCGACTGCTTTTATTCATCCGAGGAAGCGTAATCGAGCGCTCAGTAGAGCATGCCTATGATTGCACTCGAACAATTCTGAAACCCTAAGTCCGATCTCTGCAAGTGCAAATCCTTGTCCTGCCGATTTGCGAAAAACTCGCCGATCACAATTCAGAAACGATGCTGGTTTGCAGGTCAGGGAACCCAGCAAAAATTCGTGTGAACTCTTTGACGAATTAATTGATAAGGCTTAGACGTCACTCGGAAGTAGAGCACAGAACCGCAGAAGAGTGGCGCCCACAGAAGAAGTCTGTCCGAACAAAAAATTGTTGATCTGATGCTGCAGAGAAATATGATAGCCTTATGTTTTCGGGAGGCACTATGGAAAGAAGCAAAAGTCAAAGAATGGGAATGGTGCGAAATACACTGGAAGGAAACGTAGCGAAATGGTGTGCCTATTGCAGAGGCAGAGTCCGTCAATAACTTTTCCTAAGTGCCATTAAGGTTAGAGGTCTAACCTCGACTGTGATCACAAGCATGGAAGAGATGTGCTAGATGGTACTATCCATGTGAGCAGGACTTCGATGTGGTTCTGTGACGCCCATCGCGAAAGGGTCTAAAACAAGATGCGACGGCCGATCCGATCACACTTAAAAAAGAGATGAGATATGTTGGGCAGAGATAGGGTGATGATGGATGGGAAAGTGAATGGTTCGGATGGCCACCCATCGAGGCGTGGAAGAAGCCTAGGAGTAGGTAACTCATCCGATTTCTGAACACTGTGACCACTGAAAGGGGATGAGCGAAAATTTGTACGATCGCACCTAATCAAGCTTTCCTCGCACCAAGGCGCGAAATGAAATTGAACAGGTGCGAAGACTCTGCGGTAATTATGTTACCCACACATCGTGACTAATCGACCTCAAATTTCTCGACAAAAGAGAATGACAGTAAAAAAGTAAAGTTTTTACAGAAAAAAATGAGATTTCGGAAGGAAACGTCTCAACATCAATTCCAACGGTTTCAAAAATTGTACTTCGATGCTAATAAGTGAATTCAATATATTTCTATCTCAAGTTCTTGGGAAATGGAGAGAAGCGATTCAATTCCCTTTTTGTCCTCAGGAATCCTGTTCATTTGCGATATCGAGAAACCTTTACGGAGGCGATGTAGTTCTCTTTCTCTGTTTAGTATTGGGACTGCTCTTCATTGAGAGGTCACTGAACGCCCATTATGGCCATTTCACAGTTTTAATTTCACCTTAAAGAGAGGTCATCAAAGACTATTTGACCAGGGTTTGGGTGAGTGTTTTATATACCACTACTCACTTTATAAAACATTACAATGTATTCTAGAAACGCGCTATACTCAACGACACTTCGATCAACTCACAGGGTGTCCTGTCGCTTCCAACTACCTAGGAATGCACCGTTCATGTAGCCCATTTCCTTCGCTGTCTGACATTATCGCTTCTGCACCAGAAGCCCCAGCGCTACAAAATGATTTTCCCGGAGGATCTGCATATACACAGCCTCTCCCAATGCAGCTGAACCCCTTATCACAACCTTAGCTGGACACGTTTTCTGGGCCTACACAGCCTTCTCCCATGCAGCTGAGCCCCGTAACAAAGCAATCGCTCCATACGTTTCCTGTGCCCATTTAGTCTTTCCAAATGCACCAAATCCTGTAGGCTACCCCACAGACACCCTAACCACCAAAATATATTGAGTTTATTTATTACCAGGAGGCTACGCACGCTATCGCGTGTGCTGGGGGCTCTGGCCATAAGGGACGGAGCCACATGAGCTTCTGATTTTCATTATAGACCTTTATTATCTAAACGTATTCCTTGACACTTCTGTAGCGGGCATCATTTTTGTCTCATGGGAAGCATGGAATTTTTTCGCTAGATCACGAAAATTCGGACTGACCGGCATGCAGTTCGAGAAGGGCGTTTGATATGCAATAGAAAAGTTTGTCCAGCTCGACTGGATTATTAGCATGACATCCATAACACTTGCTATTGGATCAGGTAATTTATCAGAGCAACACTTCTGTATATACAACATTCTCCAGCAAGGGCGACGGGGATTAATCAAGTAATAACTTCAACTTTTTCTGGTCTCAATTACCAAATATTTTGGTTTGGGTTGTGTGGTCATGAAGAGTACTGTGAAATGAAGCTGTGTGTGGCCATGAAGTGTGTTCCGATGTACCCAAATCAATACCTCTGCAGCCCATGTAGTCGAAGAAACCCCATGTAGTATGAGCTGTGTGTGGCCATGAACACTAACTTTGAAAGGACAGCCCCTTTGGG